CAGAACATTTCACGGAAAAATTGTTACATGTCCGGCAATACATATACACACTTAAAATTAACCTCTTAAAATACAAAGGGTCATTTGGGCATAATTAGAACAAATGTTTTCAAGACATCAATATCATTGTGAAGATGACTGCTCCCAACCAGCAGGTCGGAATTGTTATATTCTCCAGGAATAATTCCACCTAAAACATTGCACACGAATGTAATAATCATTTTGTAAACCGCCTTTAAACGTTTAACGATTTATGGTCATTCGTAACTACTCGTGTCATTCCGGCAAGCCGGATGTCGTCTTCTTGTAGGTCACGGAAAGAGGCGAGTAGTTACGAATGGATTTATGGTATCTTGTAGTGTTAAGTTATGACTATTGTTACTGCACGATACCCCGACAATGACGTCAGTCAAACGTAAGAAAAACGTGTGTATTTCGACAGCAATAATATAATGTCAATACTATGTAAACAATTCCACCGGGCTTGTGAAACTAACCATACACGGATGTAGCTGTAATCACAATATATCTATTGTTATCAACCAATAATTTTTTTTTAAAATATCAACTCTTATACCAATGAAGCGTATATTTATTAGCTTGAGGGGCGGTGGGGTAGCTTAATGGCTAAAGCGTGTGATATTGATGGAATTTTGCTAAAAGCGGCGCAAAGCCATAATCACTCACTATTGATTCGATACGTCGAAAATATGAACCGTAAACATTGGACACCTTCTCAAATAGAAACAAAAGAACATGCGTGTGTATGTTTTTCCACGAGACCGTTAGTTACGTGATCCGGCGGTCTGCCTCCCCCGCAGCCGGCGTGGCGGTCACGACATCTCACATGACGACGACAACAGATACGGTGTGACATACACGCGGTGACACCAAGGCCATGGTGCACGTTACCCGATCTCCCACGCTTCACTATCACGGCAGACGACACTGTTTTTTTTTAGCATGATTGCGGGCAATCACCCTCTCCAGCGGTCTGTTAGATTGGTGTCTGGCTCACCGAATTTTTACCCGTTTGGTACCAAGAATTAATTAGGTGATTGGTATTTATTCCAAGTCACTAAGGGATGTGATGCACTGTCCACATACGCCATGAATCCCAGACTGCCTGACCGCCTCCGTGGTGTAGTGGTTAGAGCGTCCGCCCGGAGAGCGGGTTCGATCCCCGACCGCGTCATACCAAAAGACGTTAAAATATGGTACTTGTTGTTCCCTGCCTGGCGCTCGTCATTAATTGGTACAACAAGGACTGGTCGGCTCGGAGTCAGTAGAATGTGTCTGAGTGGGGTATTCATGCTTAACTGCGGCATGGTATCTCAGTGGGCTAGCACTATAAAACCAGCTTAAGTCTGCGTTTGTACAAGCAGCCGCAGATACACATACATGCACGTCGTCATATGAGCGAAATATTCTCGAGTACGACGTAAACCCCGTTTCACCTCACCTCACCTCACCTCACCTCACCTCACCCACCACTGATTTGACTGTCCTTCGCCCGTCGACCATAACACATTTCTGCCTGCAGTCGACCATAACACATTGCCTTTTTCTTCGTGGTTCACGCTGATGTCGACGCTGCTGGGCTGGCCTCACTTCACTATTTCACGGCTGTCTCTTGATCATTTGCACAAAGTCAAGTACATAGTCTTCGCATAAGTTGTCATCACAGGATTAATCACTTTTCAACTTACACCAATAACCTTTGGTCTCCTATGACTGATGGGTAGGTCGAGTATAGCCCAATGGTTAAAGCACTGACTCATTTTGCAAGATGGCGGGTTCGATTCCTCGCGTGAAAACAATGTGTGAAATCACTTTGCTAGTATCCCCAGGTTTGATATTTGAGGAAATATTGCTAAATGATGCATACAATCATACGAATACCCACTTACTCTATATTACATATGGGGCGGTGTGGTGGCCTAGTGGTTAAAGCGTTCGCTCGTCACACCGAAGGCCCGGGTTCGGTTCCCCACATGGGTACAATGTGCGAAACTCATTTCTGGTGTCCCCCGCCGTGATATTGCTGGAATATTGCTAAAAGCGGCTTAAAACTAAACTTACTCACTATATTACAGATATATATGTACCATGATACTTCAACTACACGCGAAAATAGTTATGACCAAGGTCTACCACGTACGTAAAGCGAAATAAAAATGAATAAATGCACGTGAAAAAATCAAATAAAAGAATCTATGTGTTCTGTATGATCGGAAGCTGTTATCGATCTGAATAACGTCCTCACTGAAAACACCTGTCTAGTTCTCAGGGAATATACCCCCGACAAGGGACCCTTATGGCAAATACTCACTTACCCTATATTACATACAGGGCGGTGGGGTAGCAGTGTTGTTAAAGCGTTCGCTCGTCACGCGAAGGCCCGTGTTCGATTCCGACATGGGTACAATGTGTGAAGCCCATTTCTGGTGTCCCCCCTCCGTGATATTGCTGGAATATTGCTAAAAGCGGCGTAAAACCATACTCACTCACTGGAGACGACAATCCAGTGATTGATGTCAAGAACAACGATGTACGCCGAGTCTCCACGCCTGCAAACCCAGTCGAATTGAGGTGTCTTTAATGATCAACACTGACTGCAGGAGATCAGTAAGAGGCGACTAACGGGACTGAGTGGTCATTCTCACTGACCTGGTTTGACACATATCATAGTGTCCAAATTGCGTAGATCGATGGTCATGCTGTTGTCAGTGGATAGTTTGATCCAGACTCGATTATTTACAGACCGCAGCCATATAGCTGAAATATTGCTGAGTGCGGCGTTAAACAACAACAAGACGCAAACAAACCTAAAAATTAAGGTAAGACTGTTTTGTACAGCATCTTGGTTTGTTTTTGAGTGACCCTCCACCCTCCCACAAAAGAAACCGTGCTGTGGCAGTACACGGGCACAGTATGTATCAGAAACAGAATTAAAATTTAAGGTCATTTACTGAAAATTATGAGTGATGCATTAATAAAAGTGATAGTACTTAATTGCATGATATAAAACATAAAACTTGAGCAAATTTTGGTGTCTTTTTTTGTTTGTTTGTTTGTTTTTAGCGGAAAGGGGACGCGCGCTACAATAAAATAAAATGCAGGTGAATTTTATAAATAGAACTCCTGTAATGTCGGTGTATTATTATGTCTATTATCATATGTGCTATATTTTGCTTATTGAATTGTACTTTTGGTCATGTGGCCATAAATACTGAATAAAGCTCTTCTTCTAAATGTTCGTCCGTCCATCAGCCTTGTTATTTAAAAGCCCTTCACATTCATCTCTTGTTCCTTGTAAAGGTGGAAACAACCTAAGGTATTGCAGTCATTGCGTTTATAAAATGTAGAATGAAGGGAGATAACTCCAACCGACCACGTTTTTCTCCAACGTCTAGTAAAACATTCTTAAACACCATAAAGAAGGTGAAAGGGGGTATATGAACATTCGACAGCCATAGTATCAACTGTAAATAACTCATTGTCGATTTGATCTCAAGATCTACATTTTCATACTTTACAGTGACGTCATAGTATCGTGACGTCACATGTCAAAGTTCATCATTGGGCAGTATTGTTCTGCGAATCCACAGGAACAAAGGCCGCTCACGTTTTAAGACGTTTACTCATTATATTTCACATCGCAGAGATCGGATACCTTCGAGGTGAGTACGAAAATATGCTACTTTTTTCATATACCTCTCCAAGTCGTCCATTTCATTCTATGAGCACTAGGCACTAGCCGTCTCTGCCAATATGTGAGATTGGGTTATGCTGAGAACCGATTTATCGTTTTCATCCAAAACATTTTGTTTTAGTAAAACAATATCGAAGTATTCTAAGCAGTGCTACAATGTATATCGGTATGAAGTATCGCTTAGTAACGTGAGACTTTTTCACTTGAAAAACTCATATGGTATAATCCCCAGAAACATACTGTGTTGTTTGGTCGGGTGTTTTAAAAGCGCAGGTTCTGATAGCTATAACATATATCTATATGCACACCTCTCAGACCGTCTTGTTTCTCGGATGTAGAAACAAGCTCCAAAGAAAGGCAATAACTGATAGGATAGTGTTGACATTATTTCATGTAAATCCTCCCATCTTTCTAGCAAAGCAATTATATCGTAATAATCATATATAGAAGGAAGCAAATCCCATTTTAACATATCTTTATGCCGACTTACAGGATTTTGCTCTTGATATGATTTGAATGTATGCACACACAGTGTACACGATGTGTCTTCTTCCCGATTTGGCTACGTGTTGTTAATGTTTGCATTCAGATGTTCGTGTGCCCATAAGATGTATATTATTCACCGACGTAAACCACAATTTCTTATGAAGTCTATAACTTAAAGGTACACATTTTCGACAATATTTTGGCCTAGATCATACATATTGGCGTATATTCACTCACTTTAGCTTCCTATTGATGCAATAAAAGACTTGCCTGAAATTGATAATTGAAACTTCTAGGCGAACAGCTTCCAAACAGGGAACACTTGCCATATATGGAATGTAAACAATTGCTCCATACATCGAAAACTGTCGCACGCGGCGTTATCGGTGTTTGCCGAACTGGCTTCAATCACATAGTTGTGCGTAGGATATTCGTAAAGAGCGCTCCAAGGGACATAACTCTATAGGGTTCGCTTGAAATAGTGTTCGGCCGGTAGAGGGCGCGAGAGTCGATTTAATGCAACGTTGCATTAATTCATTAGAACCTTTTAATTTAATATTGTAATCTAAATACGTAATTCTTTTGGGAATAAATTATATGGTAGCTTCCCTGACTGCTGATAGTATTATTGAGAGAAATGCATTATGTCCTTTTTAGAGAAGTGTGATGTGAAATTGTGCCTTTAATTAGATTTAGATATAGCCAACATAATACAGATAAATTGCTCAATCAAACTGTTTATGTTTGTTTTAGCTAAAACTATTTGTGAACACAGTGAGAAGTATTCAGGAAACTCACAATGTCCAGTGCAAGACCTGTTGAGAGACAGAAGGACAACGATGCACTGATGAATTCCAAGGACTATCAGTACATCATGGCAACATCTGAATCTGACATGGGTTCCTCCACATCGTCGTCCACAAATAGTCCTCGGAGACCTAAAGCCCCTGCCAAGAAGCCAGTCCGGGTAGATAACTCTATCAAATCAAAGGACTACCGCTATATTATGGACACGTCAGCGTCAGACGTGTCGTCATCTTCATCTGGCAGGAGTCGTCGTGAATCTGTTGGCGCATATGCTTCACCCTCAAGGAGCTGTCGAAACACTCCTCGTGGATCTGTTGGCTCGTCTGCTTCGCTGTCTAGGAGCTGTCGAAGCAGTCCTCGTGAATCTCCAACTGGTTCCGACAATGCTAGCACAGAGCCTCCAAAGAAGCAGCTTCCAGGAAATTTGAAGAAGCCAGATGGCCGTAGCTCCGCTTCACCCAAGTCAGCTTCTGACACGTCATCTCTATCCCTATATCCAAGGTCTCTCACCGCCTCCAACCATTCTGTGTGGTCCTCTGAGATCCTGAGCAGCGTCTCTTCTGACTCGGAGAGTGTATTCGATCCCTTCGTGGAGGACCACCTTCAGCCCAGACCTTCCCCCAGGGAGCCATCTGTAGATGCCCAATTCCCGGTGGCTGAGACAATCTCCGAGATCTCCCTTGCCAATAATAGTGAAGAGTCGTGGTTCACAGGATCCAGGGAGTCCAACAGTTTCCACCAGGAAGAACTTCATCACCGCAAATTGTTGCTGGATCAGGCCTGGGTGACAGGTGACAGGAAGCAGTCCATGTCTGACTGGGTGTCCTCTGTCCACGTCTGGGATGATGATGGTAAGTGTTTATATCATCTGACTAGCATTACATGTGCGTAAATGCATGTCTCTGTGCGCGTGTGTGCATGTACGTCCATGTACGTGCACATTGTTGTTGTTTTACTGTTTAATAATACAACAGTGTCTCCGAACGAGCACCAGAGATGGGCTGTAAAAAATTGTGTCATCAATACAGGTGAAATAGGAAATCACATCTTGAAGTCAGACCTGCGCCCTTGTCACAAAACTTGAATTTGGTATAGTTATTTCTTTTTAGAGGTTCAGGACAATGTATTAAAATGAAAGTAATTGCGATCTGGATTTTCCTACTGACCAGTACAATGTTAAAATGCTGGTCTTCCTCAGTGAGTGTCATAACTCTTGCAAGTCAAGGCCTCGTTACAGCTCAACGACATCAGGGGAACATTTCAAAACTTGACGCATCATGCAGCGACAAGAATATTTTCCGACGCTAATCCCTGTTTTGACTTGTACCATGTGTCGCCGTGTCTTTGTTCCAGGTCAACCACTGACTTGCCGGAATCTCATAATACAGAGTGGTTATATGGTGTGGAAAAGGTTTTGCCTCCTTTAGTGGTACAAAGATGATTTTCTTTTTCTGGTGTTATGTATTCTATGAGGCATATATGTTGATAAGTTACATATATCCATATGATTTCTATTAGTTCACTTTTTTCTGTTTAAAAAGTTGCAAGCAATTTGGGGGTCGAATCTCTCTTGACCAGAATCAAGACTCGGTTTCAGGTGAGTAGTACCGTGATGTCCGTGCTGTGGTCACACAGTGATGGTAAGCTTTGTCTCTCATGCTTCCATACATGCTAAACATTTCTTCGGACCCATCACAGTAAACAGTCCTGTGAACATAAAAATCAGTTCTGAGGATGAACTCTCAAAAGACACAATGGTTGTCCCTTATTTAGTGAATTTCCTTGTTGTTTTCGTTACATTGATATCCGCTATTCAAACAGAGCACGTGGTGGCGCCTGACAAGAGGAAGGGAGACTCGGGTGCAAATGATCAAGAAATCCTGGTCAGGATCTGGAATCGGCACAAGCGGTGGGTACAGGAGTTTTAGTTTGTTTAGTTTTTACCAAGTTCAGAACACCTCACAAGGTGCAATCCTGACGTTATCGAGATCTGTCCCCAGAGTAACACGTTTTTGCTTCGGTTTGTTGTAAGACTTATAGGGGTATCTGTTCAATTGGTATTTAGGGTTTAATACGATCGGCAGGAATCACAGTACGTGTTTGGTTTACCTGGGGAGTTTATTTGGAGTATTCTCTCCTGGGCTTTATGGCAAACGTTTCATAGTTGAATTTAAACAGAAGAAGCTATGTCTGTGACAAAATGTGTTGTTCTGACGCCATGTTTCCTGTGTGTAGGTTGGGACGAGGACAAGACACCACGCAGGGAGAAGCTGCAGAAGAGAATGCAGAGGTTCATCTCCCGGGTGTTCATTTGTGGAACACTATCACAGGCCTAAATACCATCGGGGTCAGGCCCAGACACAGTGCATGTGTCTCTGTCAGGCCCAGACACAGTGCAAGTGTGTCTGTCAGGCCCAGACAACAGTGCAAGTGTGTCTGTCAGGCCCAGACACAGTGCAAGTGTGTCTGTCAGGCCCAAACACAGTGCATGTGTCTCTAGAATGGCCATGCCTTATCAGATATCTACATTGTCATGCTTTATCATGTAGCTACATCCTGTGAATTATGGATGATCAGGCCCAGACACAGTGCTTGTGTCTTTATTAAATGGCCATGCCTTATTATGTAGCTACATCCAGTGTATATAAAGTAGTCATGCTTTATCATATAGCTATATCTTATTATATCAAATGGTCATGCCTTATCGTGTAGCTATATTCTCTGTATAATGATTGGTCACGCCTTATCGTGTAGCTATATACTCTGTATAATGATAGATCATGCCCTTTCATTAGCCTCTGTATATTAGATCGGAGGGCCTCGGCATTTAGCTGCATTCAATGTATTTTGAACAGGAGCGTCTCAGCTATTAGCTGCATTGAGTGTATTTTGAACAGGAGCGTCTCAGCTATTAGCTGCATTGAGTGTATTTTGAACAGGAGTGTCTCAGCTATTAGCTGCTTTGAGTGTATTTTGAACAGGGGTGTCTCAGCTATTAGCTGCATTGAGTGTATTTTGAACAGGAGCGTCTCAGCTATTAGCTGCATTGAGTGTATTTTGATCAGGAGCGTCTCAGCTATTAGCTGCATTTAGCGTATTTTGATCAGGAGCGTCTCAGCTATTAGCTGCATTGAGCGTATTTTGATCAGGAGCGTCTCAGCTATTAGCTGCATTGAGTGTATTTTGATCAGGAGTGTCTCAGCTATTAGCTGCATTGAGTGTATTTTGAACAGGAGCGTCTCAGCTATTAGCTGCATTGAGTGTATTTTGATCAGGAGCGTCTCAGCTATTAGCTGCATTGAGTGTATTTTGAACAGGAGTGTCTCAGCTATTAGCTGCATTGAGTGTATTTTGAACAGGAGCGTCTCAGCTATTAGCTGCATTGAGTGTATTTTGATCAGGAGCGTCTCAGCTATTAGCTGCATTGAGTGTATTTTGATCAGGAGTGTCTCAGCTTTTAGCTGCATTGAGTGTATTTTGATCAGGAGTGTCTCAGCTATTAGCTGCATTGAGAGTACTTTGATCAGGAGAGTCTCAGCATATTGGCTGCATTGAGTGTATTTTGATCAGTAGAGTCTCGGCAATTAGTTGCATTCAATGTATTTTGAACAGGAGCGTCTCGGCAATTAGCTGCATTGAGAGTACTTTGATCAGGAGAGTCTCGGCAATTAGCTACAATCAGTGTATTTTGATCAGGAGAGTCTCAGCATATTGGCTGCATTGAGTGTATTTTGATCAGGAGAGTCTCCGCAATTAGTTGCATTCAATGTATTTTGAACAGGAGCGTCTCGGCAATTAGCTGCATTGAGAGTACTTTGATCAGGAGCGTCTCGGCAATTAGCTGCATTCAGTGTATTTTGAACAGGAGAGTCTCAGCAATTAGTTGCATTCAATGTATTTTGAACAGGAGAGTCTCGGCAATTAGCTGCATTGAGTGTATTTTGATCAGGAGAGTCTCAGCTATTAGCTTCATTCAGTGTATTTTGAACAGGAGCGTCTCCGCAATTAGCTGCATTGAGAGTACTTTTGATCAGGAGAGTCTCAGCTATAAGCTTCATTCAGTGTATTTTGAACAGGAGCGTCTCGGCAATTAGCTACATTCAGTGTATTTTGATCAGGAGAGTCTCAGCTATTAGCTTCATTCAGTGTATTTTGATCAGGAGCGTCTCCGCAATTAGTTGCATTCAATGTATTTTGATCAGGAGCGTCTCCGCAATTAGTTGCATTCAATGTATTTTGAACAGGAGCGTCTCGGCAATTAGCTGCATTGAGTGTATTTTGAACAGGAGCGTCTCAGCTATTAGCTGCATTGAGTGTATTTTGATCAGGAGTGTCTCAGCTATTAGCTGCATTGAGTGTATTTTGATCAGGAGTGTCTCAGCTATTAGCTGCATTGAGAGTACTTTGATCAGGAGAGTCTCCGCAATTAGTTGCATTCAATGTATTTTGAACAGGAGCGTCTCGGCAATTAGCTGCATTGAGAGTACTTTGATCAGGAGAGTCTCGGCAATTAGCTGCATTCAGTGTATTTTGAACAGGAGAGTCTCAGCAATTAGTTGCATTCAGTGTATTTTGAACAGGAGAGTCTCGGCAATTAGCTGCATTGAGTGTATTTTGATCAGGAGAGTCTCAGCTATTAGCTTCATTCAGTGTATTTTGAACAGGAGCGTCTCCGCAATTAGCTGCATTGAGAGTACTTTTGATCAGGAGAGTCTCAGCTATAAGCTTCATTCAGTGTATTTTGAACAGGAGCGTCTCGGCAATTAGCTACATTCAGTGTATTTTGATCAGGAGAGTCTCAGCTATTAGCTTCATTCAGTGTATTTTGATCAGGAGCGTCTCCGCAATTAGTTGCATTCAATGTATTTTGATCAGGAGCGTCTCCGCAATTAGTTGCATTCAATGTATTTTGAACAGGAGCGTCTCGGCAATTAGCTGCATTGAGTGTATTTTGAACAGGAGCGTCTCAGCTATTAGCTGCATTGAGTGTATTTTGATCAGTAGAGTCTCGGCAATTAGCTGCATTCAATGTATTTTGAACAGGAGCGTCTCGGCAATTAGCTGCATTGAGAGTACTTTGATCAGGAGAGTCTCGGCAATTAGCTACAATCAGTGTATTTTGATCAGGAGAGTCTCAGCATATTGGCTGCATTGAGTGTATTTTGATCAGGAGAGTCTCCGCAATTAGTTGCATTCAATGTATTTTGAACAGGAGCGTCTCGGCAATTAGCTGCATTGAGAGTACTTTGATCAGGAGAGTCTCGGCAATTAGCTGCATTCAGTGTATTTTGAACAGGAGAGTCTCAGCAATTAGTTGCATTCAATGTATTTTGAACAGGAGAGTCTCGGCAATTAGCTGCATTGAGTGTATTTTGATCAGGAGAGTCTCAGCTATTAGCTTCATTCAGTGTATTTTGAACAGGAGAGTCTCGGCAATTAGCTGCATTGAGCGTATTTTGATCAGGAGCGTCTCAGCTATAAGCTTCATTAAGTGTATTTTGATCAGGAGCGTCTCCGCAATTAGTTGCATTCAATGTATTTTGATCAGGAGAGTCTCAGCTATAAGCTTCATTCAGTGTATTTTGAACAGGAGCGTCTCGGCAATTAGCTGCATTGAGAGTACTTTGATCAGGAGAGTCTCGGCAATTAGCTACATTCAGTGTATTTTGATCAGGAGAGTCTCAGCTATTAGCTGCATTGAGCGTATTTTGATCAGGAGAGTCTCAGCTATTAGCTTCATTAAGTGTATTTTGATCAGGAGCGTCTCCGCAATTAGTTGCATTCAATGTATTTTGATCAGGAGAGTCTCAGCTATAAGCTTCATTCAGTGTATTTTGAACAGGAGCGTCTC